TCTTCGCCCCTTTCAGCCCATTGATGGCTGTGGGTATGTAGTGTTTCCTTTAGACACTGGTCTAGTGTCTGGTCGTCCGGGAGAGGAATGCAATCACCACAGTAGGCCATTGTGATAATAACGATTGCTATTAAAACATCAAGTCTGTGTTGCAAGCCTACAGTGAAAGGTGTTGACAACCAAAACCTCCTTCCTCTTTAGTAAGGCTTTCTAAGACATCTTCCAGCCCCAGGCGTGGTTTCCTTCCTGCAGGAAGCCTGTGGGCTATCCCATGCTTCTGAGTTATTTCTAGTTTCTGACAACTACAGGGGGGAAAAAAAAAGAAACACACGTTGTTTTCTCAAAAAAAAATGTATGTTTATTTAACTAGGTTTCTTTTCTGCTTCACAATCTGGATTCCATTCAGTCAGTTACTACTCCAATTAACTAACAATTATTTAACATTAACAGTAATTACAGACGCCAGTTAAGCGCCTACAGATGTCAACTGTTAGCCTTGTACCTAATCACTCAATGAAACGGAGAAAGTTCAACAAACATCAATTAGCCCAGCAATTAGTATGAGTTAGCAAAGAGCGCGTTATCATGTGTGTGCTGATTCCATTTATTTTATTTTGGCTCTAAAACACACACGTACATGCACATGCTAATATGCACACTCATGCACATGCACGAGCGCGTGCGCACACACACACACACACATGCACACACACATGCAGTGAGTTCCTCAGCTAAGATAAAAACTATTGTTTTACAGCATACATAAGTGTCATTGCCTGGCCTGGCCCTGAGTCAGATCACTCTCCCTTGGAATTTATTTAGCAAACAAAATTGGTCCCGATGATTCTAAAAACCCCATGCAACTCAGACGTAGGAAGCAACTTTGGCGAACTAAGGAATCCAGTAAATATAGTGTGAAAGAAAATGCTAGAAGACGTCAGTGGAGAAAATGATTGATTCACACTTGAGCGGGCTGCTCTGTGCACCGCAGATTTCTCCCGATTTCTTCCTGAACCTGCAATAGAGAGAGTGCAGTAGTGATCTTATTAATTTCATGGTGCCTAAACTTCTACTCAGCTGTCTTTCATTTAGCCCGGAGCGAACATCAAACTATTTTTACCTACTTGTCCCACTCTATGCTTTAAAAAGTGGGAACACTTCTTGTTTGACGACAATTCAATTCTTGAATCCACCAGGGAGAACCTGGGCCTGAATTCTCACTTTTTCAATTTGTGTGGCTCTGAGTCTTTGTGTATGCGCACGTGTATGGGGGAGGGGTGGGGTATGAGTACCATATCTTAAAGAGTGTCCTATCATATGTGTGGCAGTGAGAGGGCAATCTTAGGTGCCAGTCTTTACCTCACTTCAGGGTCTCTTGTTTGTCACTTCAGTTGTTAGGCTAGTTGCTCATGAACTTTCGGGGATTCTCTTGTCTCTGTCTTTTACCACGGAGCCCTGGAATTGTAGACACTGCCACATCTAGCTTTACGTGAGTTCCGGGGATCCAAAATCAGGTCCTGGACAAGCAGTTTTTATCCACCTGGCCCACCTTGTTTTTGTTGTTATTGTTTGTTTGCTTGTTTGGATGGTTGGTTGACTTTGGTTTTTGAGTCATGGTCTCTTGTTAGTACCCAGGGCTTATTGCAGATGGACTAGTCTGACTGGCCCTATGACCCAGCTGTCTCCACGAACCTGTGCTACCGTGCCCAGCTTTTTTTTTTTAAGGGTTCAGAAGATCAAACTCAACTCTTGATAGCAAGCACTTACCAACTGAGTCATCTCCCAAGCCCAGCTGTCCCCTTTTCTGTGACTCCTCCCAAGCCCCCTCTGTCTTCTCCATTGACACTGAGGTGACTCTCAAGGGTTGGCTCAGTTTTGCTGGATTTACCAGGAGATGAGACAGCATTCCTAGGCCCTGCCCATGACTTGGTATTTGGAGATCCTAAGAGGCCATGTGTCTGCCTCTCCTCCTGGAAATGATTTTCCACAAACTCCCGAAGCCTGCAGGTAGAGTGGAAGAAGGTAGTCCCCTGTGGAATGCTCTCCTGGGTCTCTGTGGGTCTAATATAGCAAAACTTTCCATTTGGGCAAACCTCCCAATGCCACCCATATCTTGTTCTGAGCTCTCCTTGGCTCCCCAGTCTTTGTGATCTCCATAGAAAGAACCCAGAGGAGACTCTTAGAGCCATAGTCTAGAAGACACACAGTTTACTGTAGAGTATTGGAAGACACTCTCTTAAGGGGTGAGAGTGGCTTGTATGCAGAGATATCCTTGTCTAGATATACACCACAGGCAGCTTTCCTATATAACAGTCCTGGCTGTCTTGGAACTCACTTTGTAGCCCATGCTGACCTTGACTTCATATATCTGCCTGCCTCTGCCTTCCAAGTGATGGGATTAAAGGCATACACCACCACCACGACCTGGCTTTCGTACTGTTTCTAAAGTTTCTAGATAGTTTTCCTGAGGGATGTTTTCCTGAACAGGTGATTAACAGTCCTGTGTAGACTATCTCTTACAGTGGTGGGCATTGGGACACTCTTGTTCTTTAACATTAACAGCTATCTAGCTAAGTAATCATAAATGTTTATGCCTTCTGAAACTAGGTTCAGTTACTCAACAATTAATGACCTTCCAGGCAGTTCAGGATGCCACTTCTCCCAAGACCAGAAATATGACTCACATCCTATTGGTGTAATCAGTAAGTAGAATGCTGTAGTTCCAGCCCTTGGGTTTACAGGCTGTTGGTTATCAGGGAGCAAGCAGTCCAGCCTTCTTGTCCTCTAGTCCGGCTGATATGAGTTATTTTCTTGTTGATACAACAGAAGACCTTGTCTAAGTTAGAGTTATCATTGCTGCAGTGAAGCATCATGACCAACAACAACTTGGGGGTGGAAAGAGTCTATTTCCTTTACACTTCCAGGTGACAGTCCATCACTGAGGGAAGCCAGGACAGGAACTCAAACAGAGCAGGAACCTGGAGGCAGGAGCTGATGCTCAGGTCACAGAGGGGAGCTGCTTACTGGCTTGCTTCTTGTGACTTGCTCAGCCTGATTTTTTGTTTGTTTGTTTTTGTTTTTGTTTTTGAAACAGGGTTTCTTTGTGTAGTCTTGACTGTCTGGAACTAACTCTGTAGACCAGGCTGGCCTTCAACTCACAGAGATCCGCCTATCTCTCCTTCCCAAGTGCTGGGATTAAAGGTGTGTGCCACCACCTCCTGCTTTCTTATAGAACCCAGGACCACAAGCTCAGGGATGATACCACCCAAATGGGCTGGATTCTTCCCCATCAATTAATTTCTTATAGAGGCATTTTCTCAATTGCGGTTCCCTCCTTCAAAATGACTCGAGCTTGTGTCAAGATGACATAAAACTAGCCAGGGCAGACTCAATAAAAGCAGCTTAAGGGGCGGGCGGGGGGGGGGTGTTATTTTGGCTCACAATTCATGAGTACAGTCCACCATGGCGGTTCCAGAAATTGAGTCAGGAGCCTGAGGCAGCTGGTTACACAACACTTACAGTCAGGAAGCAGAGAGAGATGAACGCTGGTGCTCAGGTATTTTTCTCCATTTGAAACATACTGCATTTATGTATTATATTTTGTGTGTACACGTGTGAGCTCATGAGTGCCTCAGCCTGTGTGGGGAGGTCAGCAGACAGCCAGTTAGATCTCTCTTTTTTTTTTACTTAGCTAAGAAATTTCCCTAGATTTTCTTGTCTATTTATCTTTTTTAAAATTACACTTATTTGTGTGTGTGTGTGTGTGTGTGTGTGCGCGCGCGCGCGCATGTGCGCGCGCACGCGCGCTTGTTATGATGCTAGTGCGGATGTCTGAGGACAACTTACAGGAGTTGGCTCTTTCCTACCATGTGGACCAGGGAATCAATCTCTGGTTGTCAGACTGGGCAGCAAGCACCCCCCACCTGCTGAGCCATCTCATCAGCCCATTTACTTGTCTTTTGAGATACAGGCTCTCACAGTCCAGGCTGACTTTAAGCTTGATCTGTAACAAGGACTGTGAACTCCTGACCCTCCTGCCTCCACTTCCCAGATGCTGGGGATACACCCTAGCGTCCAGCGTATGCAGAACTCCGCTATAAACGGAGCTACATCCGTCGCCCGCTTCTACACCGTGGGCTTTTGGTAACATTTGGCTTTCTACTCACCCACCCACCTCTCCAGTTGCTGGCCTTCCTTTCCTTCCCCCAAATGGTCTCCCTTTCTGTTTCTGTGTCACATGCATCCCGTGTGACTCTCTTGCTCCCTCCACGCCTCTCACAGTCCATTTTTTTCTTCTTTATGCCTCTACCCTTTGAAGGCTACACAGATTCAGTCTGAGGAAGGTTGGCCTGGCTAATTTGGATGCAGAGCAGCTGGAGTGCAAGACAGCTGGCATCAGAGTAGTGGGCACTGTGGTGCCCTGGCCAGCTTGGAATGTGAACGGATATTGGAGACTCCCAACTCCATCACTCACCAGAAGAGAGATCTGGGGCATCACCATTTTCATTATTTTTATTCTCTTTCTATAAAATGGGACCAAATCTGTCTCATAGAGTATTATCGTACTTCAATGAAGTAATCATATACTAAACGACCTAGCCCACCGTGTACCTTGATCCTAGTTATATACTTGCTAAAGCATTTTGTATGTGTGACGTCATCTAGACTTCCTGCCCAGAAGATAATGGTAATGCATGCCTGTAATCTCAGCACTTGGGAGACTAAGGCAGGAGGATTGCTGTGAGTTTGGGATCAGACTGAGCTATATGGTCCTAGGGCTACTTAGTAAGACTCTATCTCAGAAAACCAAAAATAGCTAGATATGGTGGCACATGCCTGTAATCCCAGCATCTGGGAGGCTGAGGCAGGAGGATTGACACAAGTTCCAGGCCAACCTGTCTCAAAAGGACAAAAACAAGGAAAAGAAATATGAAAAGAAAGGGGGGGGAGAGGCTCCAATTCATAGACGAAGGAAGTACAATAGGCATAGATGGCATTCATTAAGGGCTTACTTTTTTTATTGCTAGATTTTGTTTTGTGCGCTTGTATGCCATGGTGTGTTTGTGGTGGTCAGAGGGCAACTTGAGGGAGTTAGTCCTTCGAACTCAGGTCATCGTGCTTGGTAGCAAGTGCCTTTGCTTGCTGATCCCTGAGGAGTTGCTTTTTGTCATTAACATTGTAAGCTGCAAAAGTCACTCATTTGTCAGACGAGGACTCTTGAGATTCAGAAAAGCAAAGCGACTCACTCGAAATGACAGAGCTGTTAAGACATGGGTCCACCTGGCTGCAAGGCATATGCTTCCCGGACTTGGGTTGTGGCAGAGAATCAAAGAGGAAAGGTGGGTGTCTTCTCTTAAGGGGGTGCAGAACAGGATGACCGGTACTGAAAACCCAGGGAAAGCCGGGTAATCTGGGAGGACATTGGTCAGGACCACATCCAGGATACGTTATCCATTTTGTTCTCCATCCACCCTTTTCCAAGATGTTTGACGTTCCCTGGGGTTACTAGACACTTGAACCTGATGGAGATGCTCTTGAGATTTCTCTGCATCCCTAGATGACGAATTAGTATTTGATCAAGGGTGACCCTGATAATCATCTTCAAGCTATTGTTTCAGGGTTCAACCTGAGACATCTCCAACCAACCGCCTCACTCTTAGGAAGATGGATTGAGACAGGGTCTCTTATAGCCCAGGCTGCCCTTGAACACACAATTTAGCAAAGGTTGGTCTTGAACCACTGATCCTCCTGCCTCAGTCTCCCAAGTGTTGTGATTACAGGGAAGCCCCACCACACCTTGTAGGAGTGAGCCCCACAAAGCTATCCGCCCATGAGGGCCGGGACAATTAAATTAGCACAGGTAGAGATAAAAGGAAGCAAAAGGAAAAAGGACCTCCTCTTTTGGAAGCCAGCCACGCTTCTAACTTCCAGCTTGTGTGATCCTCTCTCTCTCTGGTAAATAAATATATTATATCCCCTATAGCACCGGCTATCATCATTAACACCTGGCCTCACTTTCTAAACCACTGTCCTGGTTTCATTTCTATGTCTTTGATTAAAAATACCTGGGGAGGGGATTTATTAGACTTGCAATTCCAGTTTACAGTCCATCACTGTAAGAAAACCATAGAGGCAACTGTCCGCACCATATCCACAATCTAGAACAAAGAGAAGAAACAAATGCCCCCATGCTGCCTGCTTGCTCGCAGCCAGCCTCCTCCACTGTTATAGAGCCCAGGATCCCCTTGCCCAGGGAGTGATGCCACCCGCGGTGGGCCGAGACATATTAGCAAGCAAGACAGTCCCCTTCAGACATAGCCACAGGCCAACCTGGTCTAGGCAAGCCCCCCCGTCAAGACTCCCTTCTTGGCTGTGGTGAGCTGACAGTTAAAACTCAGCCAGCACAGTGACCTAGCATCTTCATATCCTTGGCTCCCGAGCATTCCTTTGCCTCTTGTGCCCTGGTCTACTTTCCAGCCCAGTTTTATTAGTAATGAGCTAGTATTTTCCAACAGGGGCATTTCCATAGCAGCAGAAGATACAAGCACTAAGTTCGACAACCAGTTCTTTGCCAAGCAGGAGGAGGTGGTAGCATTCTGTCCATGCACACGCTGCAGACCTGCTTGCCTGGCCCTCATAAGACCACTCTTACAAAGGAGGCGGTTGGGAGCACACTATTGCTTTTTTCTGAGAGTCCTTTTTTGAAGAGGGAGATGTCTCAAGTGCTCCCCTTAATAGACTGATGTGGGAAGCGGTTATATTTGGCCGCCTTTAAAAGCCACTTGGAAAACATTTTCGCCCTCTTATCTGTCACCTTTCACATCTCTCAACAGAGTAACACTAAAACCTAATTTTAGCCCTGATGACATCATTTTCTCATTATCTGCCTGGAGCAGGGGAAAGGGTTTCCCAGAGGAAATCTCCTGGCCCTGAGAGCCCTACTCTTGCTGGGCAGCTTGAGCCGATGTCTTAGGCTTCGTCATCCATAAAGTTCATCCAGAGAGAATGTTTGACATGGGGTCCTCTGCAGTCCGATTTATCAGCTATTAAACAAATGATGTCAGTGGGCAAGGGCTGGGATCGTGATTAGTAGGGTGCTTGCCATGCAGGCATGAGAACCTGAGTTCAACCAGTCTTCATAACCTACATTAAAGAACAAAGTGAGAGAGGGGGAGAGAGAGAGAGAGAGAGAGAGAGAGAGAGAGAGAGAGAGAGAGAGAGAGAGAGAGAGAGAGAGAGAACAATTTAAAAAAAGACATGATTGGGTGTACTTACAATCCCATGCTGGAGGTGGAGGTAAGCAGATCCCTGAGTCTTGAGACCAGCTGGCCTCACTGAATCCCTGAACTTCAGGTACAGTGAGAAAAAAGATGGAGGGGCTGGAGAGATGGTCCAGTGGTTAAGAGCACTTTGCTGTGCAGTCACGATGGCAGGAATTTGAATTCGGATGCCTCTGTAATAAGCCAGGCATCCAACAAATGCCCGTAACTGCAGCACCAAATAACCCAGTACTTGCTGCTTCTGTCCTCCATGTGCTCCCAGGCACTTGCGCTCTTGATCTCACTCGCGCTCTCTCTCTCTCTCTCTCTCTCTCTCTCTCTCACACACACACACATAATGAATCTTAAGTAAGGTGAATAGTTTGTTGTTTTCTTTTTTCATGTTTTAAAATTTACTTTGTGTGTGTTGGTGTTTTGCTTGCATGTATGTCTGTGTGAGGATGCTGGATCACCTGGAACTAGAGTTACAGACAGTTGTGAGCTGCCGTGTGGGTGCTGGGAATTATACCTGGGTCCTCTGGAAGAGCAGCCAGTGCTCTTAACCACTGAGCCATCTCTCCAGTCTCCCTCCCCCCTCCCCATTTGTTTGTATTTCAAGACGGTTCCTCCGAGTAGCCCTGGCTATCCTAGAATTTTCTCTGTATACCAGGCTGGTCTCAGACTTGCAGGGATCCACTTGCTTCTTCTCTCTGCTTACTGAGTGCTGGGATTAAAGATGTGCGCCACCACTGCCTGGCAAATAACATAGATAACAGTAAAAGACGATACCCTATTTTGAGTAAGCACACACACACGCGTGCACACATAATCAGTGGCATTGTTAAATTGTTAAGCAATCACCAATATTCCAGGGAATAGCCTAAGGATCTGCATAGCATCACACTACAAAGCTGCTGTGATATAAGGGACTTGAGTTCCGGCTGTGACTGAGCCTCACAAAGCCCCCTGATTTGGGTCCCAAGAATCACATAAACTGGGTGAAGTGGCGCACTTTTGATCCCAGCACTAGGAAGCAGGAAGATCCAAAGTTCAGGACCACCCTCAATTGTAACATAGTGTTTGAGGCCAGCCTGGGGTACGTGAGAACCAGTTTCAAACCCCACCTCCAAAGGACTCAAATCTCTAGATGTAAAGGCCAGACTCTGTGATGGAAGGTTCTAGGTTCTGAAGTGTCTGCAGAGAGCATGAATGACGCTGTCAGTAACCTGAACTGGTAACCACCCCTGTGGCCTCAGTCCTGAGTTTGTGAGGGCTTAAACAGAAAATTACATCTCCTCTGAAGAGAGATCACACGTTGGTAGTTTTGAGACAGGATCTCTTTATGAAGATCTGAAACTCAATATGGAGACCAGGCTTGCTCTGAACTTGTCCCAGTTCTGACTTAGACTCCCTAGTGCTGGGATTACTAGTGAGGACCCCATCTTTATAAGAAAGATCTGACCTGTGAGGGGGGATTGGATGAGCCTTAGAAGGGAGAGAAAGAGGGGGCTGGGGAGATGGCTTGGTTAATAAAGTGCTTGGTGGAACCTTTGGTTCCCCAGAACCCACTTAAAAAGAATTTTTAGATGGATGTTCCCTGGCCAGTCTAGCTCACTTGGCAAGTCAGATCCTGTCTCAATAAAAAAAAAAAAAAAAAAAAAAAAATGGCGGGACCAGTGAAATGGTTCAGCACTTGCTGCCAAGCCTGAAGACTTGATCCCCCAGACTCACACTGTGGACGGAAGAAGAGAACCAAGTCCTGTGTGTTGTCCTATGACCTCCACACTTGTGTCGTGCCTGCCTTCCGCAAGTAAACATAATTTCTAAAAAGTAGAAAGGTAGGCGGTGCCTGGAGAATGGTAGCTGAGGTTGTTCTCTGGCTTCCACACCCATGCACACACGTGTACGTGACACATAAACATACAGTGGTGGAGGGAAGTGGGGAGAAGAGGCTCTCTATAAAAATCCCAGCTGTTAGTTCGTGGCCTTTTGAACAGAAATAACACTGCCGTGTCTGCCTTTCTCTGTGTTGGATGGTGTTAAAGGAAGCATTTTATCTGCTTATAAATATTTACAGAACCCCTCTGTATATAAAAGTGCTTAGGTGCAGACTTCCTTTTGTACTTGAGTTCTCAAGTGGGAGGACTGTCCTGCCTAAGACCTTTTCCTGGGCTGGGCTCCCTCCCTTCCAGACTTCTCAAGTGGGAGGACTGTCCTGCCTAAGACCTTTTCCTGGGCTGGGCTCCCTCCCTTCCAGACTAGGAAGGGGTGGGGGAGCAGGGGGGATTAGACTGGCGGAGAAAGTCCTGCCTAAGAGCACTCCAGGGGCCATGGCTAGGCAGCTTCTGTTTCCAGGAGGTGACTCATGATACCACTGAGAATTGAAATGAGGCCTGCGGGGGCTGTTGAGGATCAGGGAAAGAATGTCACCACCTCCATCCATCAAGGGCTGGCCGCACACCTCAGGCAGCAGTCCAACCAGCAGAGCCCAGAGTTAATCCAGGCCTGATGGCTGAATAATCCTACTTTTCTGTTGCTCAACAGCAACCATAATCCTGACCTCAGTCTTTCCATGCTGCATCCACCGTGTGCTGGGGTTTTAGCTTTATTCATCGTCTTCTCAAGTCTGCTCTATTTGGGGAACGTTTTAAGAACAATCCTGGGCTGGAGAGTGGTAGAGCATTTATCTAGCATGTTCTAGATCTCAGGTTCACATCCCAGCACTACAAAAATTAATTAATTAATCAATTAAAGGATATTATATAAGAAAGGAATCCTGCTCTGAGGGGTTTTTGTTTGTTTTATTTTGTTTTGAAGAATTTGTTATTGTTGTTGTTGTTATTGAGACAAGATCTCACTGTGTAGCCCTGGCTGTCCTGGAACTTGGTATGTAGACCAGGCTGGCCTCAAACTCACAGAGAGTTACCTCCCTCTGTGTCCTGAGCGCTGGGATTAAAGGCATGTGCCACCACACCCAGCCCAAGTATTTATTTTTATGACTTTTAAAAATGTGTGTGTGTGTGTGTGTGTGTGTGAGAGAGAGAGAGAGAGAGAGAGAGAGAGAGAGAGAGAGAGAGAGAGAGAGAGAGAGAGAGAGAAATATGGCATATTATGTGGTTGTCCTCAAAGGCCAGAAGAAGGCATCGGAATCGGATTCCCCCCTTTTTTTTCCTTTTCCCATTTTTTCATGTGGTTAGTGTGTATGTTTCCATGTGTGGGGCACATGGATGTGTGGGTACCTCATGTGTACATGAGTTCCGGAGCTGGAGTGACAGGTGGTTTTGAGTTGCCATTGTTGATTCTGGGAACTGAACTCTGGTCCTCTGAAAGAACAGCAAGTGCTCTTACCCACAGAGCCGCCTCTCCAGCTGGCTTGTTGCCTTCTGTTTTGTCTCTTTACGTAGCCTAAGCTGTTGGACTCCATCCTCCACTTGGGTTTCTCGGGGGTGGCTGGGACCACAGGCATGAGCTACACCAGGCTACTTAGAATCTCTGTTGTGCGCTGTTATTTGGTTTTAGTTGCTCTGAAACAGGTTCTCATGTAGTCCCCGTTGGCCTCCAACTCATTGGTTATAGCCAAGAATTGACTCTTGCAAGCTGTACTCTGACCTCCACACGCATGCTGAACTCTGTGTTTTCCTGCTTCCGCCTCCCGAGCGCTGGGATGACAGGCAGGTGCCATCATACCTAGCTACTTTGAATTTCTTGATCGTTTCCTGGAGATGACGAACCATGACTGAATTAAGGAGGCCCTGGGCTAACTTTGTCTGTGCCCAGTCTAAGATGTCTGTGCAGGCGCACCCTCTTCTCTGGACGATACTGCTTACTTTCCTTTTATGCCTTTTCTCACATGTGCAGCATGCGTGCTTCTATGTGTGGGGGCACATGTGTGTGTGGATGCTCACGGATACAGCTTTCACTGGAGGCCTGAGGTTGACGTCAGGAATTATTCTCGGTCATTCTTCCACTTTATACATCGAGGCTGGGTCTCACTTAAACCCAGAGCTCCGCCTGTGTGGCTAGTCTTATTAGCCAGCTTGCCCTGGGGATCCCGTCTCCCCCTTTTGGGGCTAGAATTACAGGCCAGCTGCCGCACCCATCTGTCATTTATGCGGTATTAGGAGATGGTTGCCCGGTAAGCAATTAACTGCTGAGCCATCTCCCCAACCCCTGGCTCTTAAATTTTTTTGTGGCTGAGAACCAGGAGAAGGAAGACTATCATGGATGAGACAGTGAGAACCCTGGAGACAACTTCCTATGCGAGGAGCCAGGCCAGTGCTGCCTGGAGGCTTTGGTGGTATGCTGCATTATAAGTAATTTTAATGCTTTATTGCTTCTATCTATTTGTGTGTGTATGTTTACTGGTGCATACGTGCATGTATGTGGAGGGTCGGGGACAGCTTGAATGAGTCCAATCTTTGCCCTCGCCATGTGGGTCCCAGAGTCTGAACTCAGGCTTGGAGGCAAATGCCTTTTACCCTCTGAGTCCCGTCTCACCAGCTCATAAACTAAGTCTGGTGGGTTTGTTTCTTGCAGTCAGCTGCATGGAGAGTCTAAACTCCCCTGTATTGTGGCCTCGTCCCAGAATACCTGAAATGTGATTTGGTATCCCAGGAAGAAGCAACCCTGAGCAAACATCTGGGGGACTGTAGATGGCAGGGTGGCCCTGTTTCGTGGCTGCCTCTCCTGAACAGTCAGTGACCTGTTGCCCTATTCGGCAAGGTCTTCACCTCCAAAATGCACCCTAGGGTGCTGCCGGCACCTGCTTGCAGCCTCCTTTCTTTCTGAGGACCCTTCTTAGTTGAGGCAAGACAGCCAGCCCCTCACACCAGCTCCATCTGCATCAGCTGCCGAACCAACTTGAAAACTGCCTATGCTTAGGGTTTTGAGGCATTTGAAAAGTTAAGGCCGACTTCTTGAGCCTTCTCAGCATCCTGCCTGGTTCCCTTATCTTATTCAAATATCCTAATTGATACCCAGGCTTCTCCCCAGCACATCACCCCAGCACCTCACTGACAGAACAGACCTTTACCTGAGGGCCTCATTATACTTGATGCCTGTGTGTCGGGCCAAAAATACCCACCTGATACCTGCTCAACGTCCCGGGTTTCCGAACGACAAACAAATAATTGGGTGGAACAAACCCTGGGTGTCGAGCGGCTGCCATTGGTGTCGCGGCATGGAAGAGTCCAACGGCGGTAACAGTCACGGCACTGCCTGGCTCTTGTCAGAAAAGATCTTTGAACAGCGGGTTGCACTGACACCGGAGAATGACAGCTTTAGAAGCGGCTTGCTAGTTACCTCAGTGAGGGGGCCCTCTCATGTGGAGTATGACAAGCGGCTGTCATTTCCACGCAGGTGAACAAGTGACATTCCAAGATGAGGAGGGAGGCTGTGGGTGGCTGTGCCTGACAGCAGGTGAGGTGGGGCTGAGTGAGAGGGATCCCACATGCTACTGATCCCTGCGTTTGCACCAGAAGCCATCCTTGGTGCACACACTCTCTCTCACACACCCCTGCACATACGCCATTTATTCTCTTTCCCCGTTCGTTCGTGTTACTTTTCTCACAGCTGTGAACAGTTGCGTGTTTGAACTGTGGCAAAGACAACTTAAGGGAGGAGGGTTACTTTGGCTCACAGTTCCGAGGGTACAGCCCGGCACGGTGGGAAGTCACGGCGGCAGAGGCGGCTGGCAGCTGGTCACGTGACACCTGCAGTCAGGAAGCAGAGAGAGACGGATGCTGGTGCTCAGCTCACTGTCTCCCTTTTTATTCAGTCCAGGACCCCGTGGGATGGTGCTGCCAATATTCAAGGTGGATATTCTCACCTCAGTTAACCCAGTCTAGAAACTTCCTCACAGATATGCTCAGGAGGTTGTCCCCTAAGTGATTCTAGGTGCTGCCAAGTTGGCAATCAATATTAACCATCGTGCTGTCCTTCTGTCTTGAGGTTGTCTCAGTTAATAATTTAGGGATGAGGAAGGAAGGTGGAAGTCATCCCAGCATGCTTACAGAATGTAGTTTGTCATTCAAACCTGTGTCTCTCGTTCATGACGAGTCACGCTTTACTAGTTAAAAATGGAAGACAGGGGCTGGTGAGGTGGTCCGGCTGATGAAAGTGCTTCCTGTGCGAGCCTGGCGGCCTGAGTTCAGTCCCTGGAGCTAAATTAAAGGCGCCAGGAGAGAACTGACTCTATAGATTGTCCTTTGTCCTCCACACACCCATGGCCTGTGCCCATATCCAAGTCACACAGGAATAATAACAATAGATTAGAATACAGCCAAGGCACAGTTTCTGCTGATGAGGACCTCACCATTGAAAGGAACTCACTGTGTAACTGAAGATAACTTTGAATCTCTGACTGCCCTGCCTCTACCCCCAGATTATGGGCTTGCACCAACACACCCAGTTCGTATGGTGCTGGGAATGGAACAGCTAAGATTGTTAGCCAAGCACTCCAGCAACTCGGCTACATCTCCAGCCCAGCACTGCGGCTGTTTGGTGGGTTGGTTGGTTGGTTGGTTGGTTGAAACAGGGTTTCTTTGTGTAGCCCTGACTGTCCTGGAACTCACTTCTTAGACTAGGTTGGCTCCGAACTCACAGAGATTCACTTGCCTCTGCCTCCCGAGTGCTGGGATTAAAGGCACACACCACCGCCACCTGGCTTGTTGTTTTAATACTTAGACCATACACAGAACCACCGTGTGAAAGCCGTACAGCAACAAATAGGATCTACTCATTGTCAGGAGTCTTTGTAGTTAGGCTAAGGTACTAGATGTGGACTCTCATAAGCGTGGGCCTTCAGCGAGAGAGAAGACAAGCTCTGGGGAGAGGAAGGAGACCCAGTGGGTAAAATGCTTGCCTCACACGTGTGAGGACTTGAGTTTGCATCAAGAACCATGTCAAGCCAGGTGCACTTGCACACATCTGCAATCCCAGCATCCCTATAGCGAGACAGGAAGGGGTGACGGGAGAAGCTCCCAGAAGCTCCCAGGCCAGGTGGCCTGGACAGGCCGTGGCAATAGTAAAAGACTCCATCTCAAACAGATAGAAGTCGAGGAAGCTCACCCAAGGTTATCCCCTGGCCACCACACACCCCTGTACACACACACACACACACACACACACACACACACTCTCATACACAAAGACACCAGATGTGCTGAATTTACCAGGAGAGACACTGAAGCAAGGATCGGGCACCGTCTTCCCTCCAGTTACGGCTTTCCAATCCGGGCTCCATCCGGCCTCATGAAGAGGCCTACTCAAGTGCAGGGTAGTTGTCACGCTGAGCCCTCAGTGAGGACTGCACTAACCTGAGCGAGGCTTGGGCGTGTGACCTTGGGGGCAGTGTTATGCTTTGCTTACTCTCTGGATGGCTCTTCAGAGTCAGGCTGTTCTGCTCATTTCCCTGTTGGCAGGCGCTGCGTTGCATGAAAGGTTAACACAACATAGCACACATACCCTGAGCAAATGGGGCATGATGACCAGTAACTGTTTTGCAAACAAAGCGCTGCCCTGTGTTTTTTAATCCTTTATGAGCATCCACCATGCACAACAGTGAACTAGTTAGTGGACAGCGGTGGCTCCAGCAGGCGCTCTACCACTGAGGCTACCTCAGCCCCTCACTGGAAGAGTCTGGGCAGGTGCTCTACCACTGAGGCCACCTCAGCCCCTCATTGGGGGATTCTAGGCAGGTGCTCTACCACTGAGGCTACCTCAGCCCCTCACTGGGGGATTCTAGGCAGGCGCTCTACCACTGAGGCTACCTCAGCCCCTCACTGGGGGATTCTAGGCAGGTGTGCTAATGTTGACCTCACCTCCATGCTTCTTTTGCTGAAGTTTCTCAGACAATGATGATGGTAGCTAGCCTTTATAAATACTTGTTATAGTGTTCTAGCCACTTTGAATTAACTCATAGCCCTTCCAGTAGGCTTTGAAGGTGTCTGATACTATCACAAACAGCACATTGATACCGAGGAGCTTGCCACCCAGGTCCAGTGAGTGGCCCACGTTAGACATCTATTTAAGTGCTTGGTTCTTACTCCTCGGGGCACCTGTCTCCTAAGGTCAGCATTTCCCAGTCCTGAGTTGTGAGCAGATTTTCCAAATGTCAGCCCCGTTAAGGCATGCATGCACACTGTGAACCAGAGTGACACCTTCCAAAGTGTTTAAACTTCTATTAGCTATGAAGGCCTTATGCGTGGGTAAAATGCTTCATCCTTTCCTCAAATAGCAAGGAGGACGTGCTTGATACCCCTGTCAAGGAATGCCCTCTAAAACACAAAGTTCCAAATCTCACAAATAGAAAAATTGAGACTCTGTTATTTTTCTCCACTCTGCCTCAGAGTGGAGAGTTCAAGAGAAGCAAGGGCTTAACTGAATCACTTAACCAGCCCTTCAGGTACATTTTAAGTGAACTCGAGTCCCTCTGTGGGGATTACACAGGGGAGGGAGAAGTGGCTGTCAACACAGAGGCCAGGCTGGGAGCTTTTCACACCCCTCCAGGCACAGAGCTGCCCTTTACCTCCCTATCAAAGGGAAAGTGCTCAGCAGGGATCTCTTATCACACTTTTGTTGTTGTTGTTGGTTAATTGGATGGTTGTTTCAGGCTGGGACTCAAGTCACCCAAAACTGACCTCAAACTTGCTACCTTGTGAAGATGACATTGAACACACACTTTCTATCTTTGTTGATTGCTTTTGGGGTGGTTGGTTTGGTTTTTTAAAATATTTATTCTTATCATCGGGTGTGTGTGTGTGTGTGCCCGTGCGCACGCACACGCATGCCTGCGTGCAGATGTCTGCAATGGCTCTTAAGAAGAGGGCATTGGGTCTCCCTGGAGCTGGAGTTACAGGCATTTGTGGGCTGCCAGATGCGGGTGCTGGGAACTGAACTCAGGTCTTCTTAGCCATTCTCCGTCTCTCCAGAACCTTCCTTGCTCTTTTGAGATAGACTCTCAAATTTGCTGTATAGCAGAGGACGACCCAGAACCCCCGCCCTTCCCGTCTCCATCCACCAATTGCCCGGTGTATAGGTATGTGCCGTCACACCTAGTAATGACCGTTTTTTAACCAGTCCATGCTGCTGCTGGGGTTATTAGGACCGGAATCCCTGACAGTCCTAACAAGCCATCCCCATCATGCCAATTAAAGAGACAAGTTGTAGTAGAAGCAGAGACAGGACGTGCATTCAGCGTGGTGGCCGCACTGAAAAGAGGAACAGAAATGCCCAGTGACCTCCATCCTCGACCCAAGTTCATCTGAAGCGTCTAGATACTGAGGGTTAGGCTTAAATAGAGGGCAAGAGTGTTCATTGATAGCTGATATGGGCCCACCGGCTCATCACCCGGCCCATTAATTGTCTGGGCTTCTTTCTCTCTGGCAAGTTGATGGTCTGATAAGTTCTTAGGACTGTGTGAAGTCTCTTCCAGGAGGTATTCCCTCTAGTTGGCAGCAGGCATCAGCCCTTTCCTTCTCCCAATCTGTCACTCCTGGGGTGTTCCAAATTCCTTGGGACCCTTTGTTGCGATAGTCTGATAGGCAAAGGGAAGAGGATTCTTGCAAGTTTGGGTCTCACAATATAGACCAAGCCGACCTCAAGCTTGGAGCAGTACTTTCCTAGTCAGTCTCCCAAGTGTTAGGATTATCGACTTGAGGTATGACACCTAGCCACATTTTTGGGGGGGGCGTTGCTTGTGGAGGCCAGAGGTCAATGTCTGGGGTCTGTATAGCGTTCTTAATAGTGTTTATTTACTTTTGCATTGTGTCATATTTATTTGTATGTGCCATGGTGTGCATGTGGAGGAGAGGACAGCTGGCAGGAGTCAGTTCTCTCCTTCTATCATGTGAGTACCAGTGACTGATCTCAGGTCCTGAGGCTTGGCAGTAAGTGCGTTTACACATGAAGCCGCCTCAACAGCCCTATGCACTTCATTTACCCAAACTGGTTACCATTACAAATACCAGAAAACCATCCTAGTTACCAAGTTGAAGGATCTAAACAGTACTCATATGTTTCACTTCTCTCTTAAAAAAAAACATTTTAAATTATGTGTGTATTCGTTTGTCTGCACATGGGTATGTGCTTGTGGGTACAGCTCCTGAAGAGGCCTGCAGAGGGCGACGCATGGTTGGTTTCTCTGTGCTTTCCCCTACTTGCATCTGGCTTTGATGGTGCTCATGTCCAGTTATGCAGAAGCATAAGTAAGACAAGTAAGAATTTTTCCTAAGAGTTCATTTTGTAGACATTCACTCTGCCACTTGGTTAACAAAGGGTGCTTTATGAACGGGGATGCGTCCAGTTGAACTTTACCCCTGCCCTTCATCATTCTTTATGTCGGGGGTGGGGGGCACCAAGAGAGTGCTAAAGAGTCAGTTACAGCTTCAGCATGGCACCATTATGCTCCTGCTTGAGCCACAAAGACAGTGGTCTTCAGCTGTGGGGCAGACGCGTTAGTCTCACACGACCTATCCCCCTCCTCCCCACGGGCAATAAGCCACAGTCTGAGGCAAGGTGGAGGTGTGGAACCTCAAATTTCCTAACCCCATCTACTTAAAACAGACCAGCAGAACAGAGAATTTAGACTTTCCAGTGAGACAAAGAAGTGACCTTCCCTTCAAGACACCGATAAATTAAATTGGACTCTTAAGAATGGCTTATTCGTGTCCTCTGGGGGTGTAGATCTTGGAACTGAGTGTCCCAGCTGAACACAGGGAAGGCCCTTTGTCAGTACCCTAAAGGGCCATTTGAAATGTCATCAGCTTGGAACTGTCTATCACTAGAGACTATCAGCAGCCCATTTAAAAGAATGCCTTGGGTCAGATGGAAATAGATGGCAGGCCCTTAATTCTTTATGATAAGGGCAACTGTTAAGGAGAATTATGTAGTGACAATTAATGACATCTAAGGTGACTCTGAAGCCCCTGTCCTGTGACTGTCCACACCAAATGTGCCTGCTCTTTTTGCCTATGCCCCCACGACATTCTGTTTAACAAACTTAACTGACATAAGGAAAGCAGTGACATTCTGGAATGCTCCAAATCTGGTTTGATCTCCTTCTGGAAAATTTGCCAGTAGTGATTGATGTATCTGATCCACTCCCCCCAACCCCCAATTGGGGTGCTGGGGATCTAATCTAGAGCCTTGTACCATATAACTAACCCCTCCCTGAGGGATTCTAGGCAGGTGCTCCACCACTGAGCCACACCCCCAGCCCCTCACTGGGGGATTCTAGGCAGGTGCTCTACCACTGAGCCACACCCCCAGCCCCTCACTGGGGAATTCTAGGCAGAGGCTCTACCACTGAGCCACACCCCCAGCCCCTCACTGGGGAATTCTAGGCAGAAGCTCTACCACTGAGACACACCCCAGTCCCTCACTGTGGGATTCTGGGCAGGTGTTCTACCACTGAACTGTACCCTTAGCCTCTCACTTAGGGATTTCATGTAGTTATACTGCTTAGCCATGCCCCTAGTTCCTCCCTAGAAGATTTTGGACAAGTAGTCTACCATTGAACTATATTCCCAGCTATCTTTTTTCTTCTTATTTTGAGACAGGGTCTCACCAAGTTGCCTCAATTGGCTTTGAACTCGCTCTTTAGCCAGCCAGGCAGGCCTTGGACTAGGGTACCCCTTGCTTCTAGCATAGCTGGGACCACAGGCCTATAACTCTAGGCCTGGCTCCTCTATTCAATTTAAAATTTTTGAGAGTTGGGCCAGAATTTAAAATGAACGTCCTTCAGCTTACTGTCATTTGGTCACGATAGAGAATCCAATAGAAAATCTGAAAGCTCAGATGTAAGTAACCTCATCCTCCATTGTAGATACTGAGTCTTACTAAGGCATCTGGGAGTAGGAGAGAAGGTGTCTGGGGTATATTTTAACAGGAGTTAGCATCTGAAATGTTTGATGTGCAGGGTGTGAATTCAGAATTGTTTCCACTTTGGGGGATGTTTGTGACAGGTCCTCCCTATGTAGCCCAGGCTGGGCCAGAACTCAACTGTGTAGTGAAGGTGTCTTCACAGTTGCTGCAGTCCCCTTGCCTCTGCCTCCCAAATGAAGTGCCAGGATTTCAGGTGTGTCTCACCGAGCCCAGCCGGGTGGACATCTGGCAGGAGGGGCAGGGGTCCTCTTGTGTGTGGAGGCCAGAGGACAACCACAGCTGTTGTTTCTCAGGTGCCACTGTTTTTGTTTTCTTTCTTCGAGACAGGGTCTCTCATAGGCTTGGAACTTACCGAGTAAGCTAGCACCTTTCTGTGTCTCCAGTGCTGGGGTTATGCCACACCCACCTCCCCTCCCTCCCCCCCTTTAACATGGGTGCTGGGGATCGAACTCAGGTCCTCATATTTGCATGGCAAGCATCTTCTGGA